AAGAGTGATCCAAAGTTGAACAATTGAAGTGTCCAGTCGTGCGACGGCGGCAGCGAGGGCGGGGAGGGACGAGGCGGGAGCAGGAAGCAGGAGGAAGGAATGAGACCGCCGATGTGTCGACTGGCCCTCCTTTGTGACACAGGCTGCGAGGCCGACGAAGCAACTCCGCGGCGCCTCAAACTCTATTCTGACTGTGGGGAGAGGGTCATCACGACGCACCTACTCTCATCGTCACATTACTATCTATATAGCTGGCCATCTGGCTAATAATGTGTGCCCACAGGGAAGGCCACCCCGTCCTTGAAATAGGAGGGCGTCCAACACAGACTGGAACCTGCAGCTGGAAACATACCCGCTTTCGACGACCAGTGGAGAACAATGGTCGATTCTAGCAACACTGGATCCAATAATGTTAGCGTCTCGCTTTTCTTCCCCGTTTTCCGCAAACCTTTGAATGGCTGCTCCGCTCGGGAATTGAGTGACCCGAGTCTTGGCCCTGCTGCAAGATCCGGCGCTTTCTGGCGCTCTGGCTGACCCCCTGTTTACATCGACCCCGTCCCGGGATTGGGACGCCCGAAATGCGTACGAAAGACATGGGATGCCGAACAACAACTGCTGTCCAAAACCGACGGCGGCCTCCGTTGGGCAGGTGGCCTTCTGTCTCAAATGGACAGCGCCCGCGCCGACATCGACAGCGAGCCCTGTTCAAAAGGAACAGAGAAAACTGTCAGTCTCTGTGGCCATCCTTTCCGTACCCATCACAGCGAGTCCTGCTCAAAAGAAACGAGAAAGGCTATCGGTCTCCTGCCCATTCTTTCCGTATCCATCAGAGCAATTCCTGTTCAAAAAGAACAGAAAAAGCCGTGGGTCGTTGAGCCCATTCTTTCCGTATCCATCATAGCGAGCCCTGTTCAAAAGGAACAGGAAACGCTGTAGGTCTCTGTGCCCATTCTTTCCCTATCCACCACAGCGAGTCCTGTTCAAAAGGAAGAAGAAATGCTGTCGATCTTTGTGCCAATGTTTTTCCGTTCCGATCGTCCCGACTTGAGCCCCGATCGGGGAGACGTAACTCTGGGGTGCGGAGGAACCCGGGTTGGCCTAAAGAGGCCATCATGAAATCGACGAGACCGAGTCTTAACCTTGGCGCGAGCTCCTGCTGCAAACATCCTACGAAAACTGGAGCGTCAAAATCCAGGGCGGGCTCGTCAGAAAAGGAATGATGGGCCTGTTTTCCACCAGCCCCACCATAAGTTTGAGGGGGTAGGAAGTTGAGGATGAGGACGAAGATGAGGAGGAAGAAGATGAGGAGGAGAACCCCCTTCCCCCTCCTACTTGTGGTGGTGCTGGCGGTGGAAAACAATGTAGGCGAACCCGAATCCCGGCGCACCCGAATCTTACGCTTCCCCAGCCCCGCCGCCCTCCGCCGACCTCCCGCCGCGCGGACCCGTTGCCGCCCCTGGCCCCCGCCGCGGGGCGAGGTGCTGCGCCGAGGGCGAGCGGCCCTCCCCGCAGCGCGCCCGCGTGCAGTTTACGGCAGGGCCCATCACCACAGACCTCGCCCGCTGGCTCCCCCGGTGCCCGCTTCGAGGCCGCCCCGCGCGCCGCTGCTGCCCGGCCCTCCCGGTACTTGGGGCCGCCCGTGGCCGCTCCGCGCCCGCCCCGTCCCACGGCTTGGCGTTTCCAGATGCACGCAGAGCTTGCACGATGGCTTCGTCTTATCTGCTCTGCCGCATGCATACATACATACATACATACATACATACATTGCATTGCATTGCATTGCATTGCATTGCATTGCATTGCATTGCATTGCATTACATTACATTACATTACATTGCATTACATTACATTACATTACATTGCATTACATTAATACATACATACATACATGCATACCTACATACCTACATACATACATACATACATACATGCATACATACATACATACACACACATACATACATACATACATACATACATACATACATAACATAACATAACATAACATAACATAACATAACATAACATAACATACATACATACATACATTGGAACTCCACGGGTGGCACTGCATGCAGCAGGGGCCCGACCGCAGGCAACCCTCCACAAGAAACCCAACCCTGAGCCCCCAGGATGCCCCTTCATTCTTGGTGCGGGAGCGTCGCGCTGTCCAGAGCAAAAAACACATTCGAAGCCAAAGAACCCCAGGGCAGCCTGGAGGCACGCTGGCTGTTCCTTGCCATGGGTCTCCACTGTAACTACGTCTGAGCCGGCCTCCCGTCGCCCTCGTCGTCGCTCGGACGCCCCTTCCCCGAGCATGCTTCGACTTCGTGCAGTCGTTCTTTTGCGCCAGAAGATCCAGCATGCTCCTCGACAGCCTTCGCCGACAAACAAAAACGCACACGTCCGAGCGATGCCATGCTTCCACGAGAATGACTGTACAAAGCAGGGTCTCCACCAGACGGGGTCGCCGCTTCCTCGAGGCGGCGCCGTTTTCTCCTGGAGGAGGCGGGCCCACTCTCTTACTCCTCTGGCTCCTCTGGCTCCTCCTCCTCCTTCTCCCCCTCCTCCTCCTCCTCCTCCTCCTCCTCCTCCTCCTCCTGCCAGGGGGGTCCCCCTGGTGGTGTGCCCCCCCCCCTTGTTCGAGATATCCCCTGCCCCCCAGCTCGGGGAGGCAACTCGTGGACCTCCTTCCTCGCCGGAGGCGGCGTCCCCCCCTCGGTGTCTGTGCCGTCGCCTCCCTCGGCGGCGAGCAGGAGGGGGGAAATCAGAGTGGGCGGACCTTCTCAGAAGGCTCGGAAGGCCTCTGGCCTGCTGAGATGCTGTCCGCGCATCCTCCGAAGTCAGGGGCGCCCCCTCAGCAGGCGCGAAGCCTCCTGACACGCCCCACCGCCCCGCCGCCTTCTGGGGCGGCCTGCTCCCCCTCTCACCTTCCCCCCCGTGTGCTCGCCGCCGAACACTGCCAGCACATGCCCCAGACGTCGTGAGCTTTCCCCGACGTCGACCGCAAGCGGTCTCGACCCGTTCCCCCGGACCGGCTTTTTTTTACGACGACATGGGAGCAAGTGAGTTTCACAGTGTACGAATGTACTGATGGACGCTACCACGAGTGGGAGGGAGGCGGCCATGCCGCCCATCGTTTCCTGGCGGTCCAGAGGCCCAGTGAGGGCCCTCTGCGACCGACAGTAGCAATACGACTCTACCACCGTGCTCCTTCGTGACGCGAGTCCTCTTTCGCCCCGAACACGCCAGGAACGACGGCAGCCAGCCAGCAGCGCGCGCGAGGCAAACCCGGAATCACGCGAAGGCCAACCTGCAATCGGCGAGCGAAAGCGCGAAACTTTGGCCTGCGCAGCTCATGACCCCGGGGGGGGTTCTGGCAAGGAGGGCTGCCGCCCCCGATGGCCCCGAGAGCCCCACGAGGCCCCGCGGGCTGGCTGCCGGCTGCCGGCTGCCGCGTCCCCGCCGTCGGGGGTGGGGGCGGGCGGTTTGCGGTGGGCGCCCCGGGGGGGCCTCGCGGGATGGAGCGGCATGCTCCAACCTGCCCGAACTCCTTTGGCCCAGGTGCACGCAGCACTACAAAATGGTGCTGCCTCTGCCAGGTCCCATTCGACGAAACTCATCCGACCGGGTGTTGCGCCGCACGTCGCCCAGCTCAGCGTCTGCTCATTTCGCCCCCGACCCGAGTGGAACCCGAAAGGCGCCAAGCGGCCCAGAGCTGAGCACTCGGGAGGTAGCGAGAGACAATTCCGACTCCCCTTACGGACTCGCAGAACACTTCCCCGAAGGGACCTTCAACGGCGTTGACCGGCCTACGGGATCGCTGGCCCCGAGGCAAAGCCTCCACCAACGTTGGCGG